TATGTTATGCATGTTATGTCCCCATGTTTTATGTATTTTTGCTCCAAAGGGGAGTAGCCTAGAAACACTGCCCCCTCCCCCCCTGCACTGCTTCCCCATCAAGATAATTTGAATCAGACAATGGGGGAAAGAGGAAAATAATGCTCACCCACACATGCCCTCTTGTACCATCAGAGCATTATGCTATTGTGACAGCTAAGAAAAAACACTACTGACCTGTGACTGCTATCTGAAGATTTGGTGCGCTGCAGAATTACATCCTTAAGAACCAAAAAGTGAGCCTCAGCAAAATTGTTGGTGTGGTTACCTCTAACAGGCAGTTCAGTTCTAAAGCATAGAGCAAAAGATTCTTTGTCATTGTATAGATTTTGCAAATAGCTGACTAGATTTGGGTATTTCTTGCAACGGCCATCATTCAAAAGTTCACTGAAGCAGTTCTCAAAATCTTGTTTTGTCTCGGCATATAAGGACCTCTTGAAAAGGGTGGGAAAATAAGGCCTATCTGCTTGGCTGATACTGTTCTTGCTCTCGTGAAGCCATCTCCAAAGTTGTTGGAGCATGTGGAAGATGCAAAGAAGTAAAACAGATGTTGGTCAAACAGACTTCAGAGCATTTCTTTCCTCTTTACAGTTGTCTGTAAGGATGACTTGGGGGCCTTGTTCCCGACCATGATCATTGAATGCATACTCTGGTAAACAGGACGGAAGCATTTCAAAGCCCTGTTTAAGTGTATGCTCCTGCTCATCACTGGTGATCAAGATGCCAAGTGGAAGTGCTCCAGATACATTGTTTGTGCACATTAAAAACACTTTAAGATTGTGCTCTTCTGTATTAGAAGTAGCATCAACAAAAACCATCTCACCAGACTGCTGCACTTCCTTGTGTACACGGTTCATGAGAGGCGTTACAATAGCAACTATAAGAGGCGTATTATCACCTTCACATATCTGGTAACAAGTAGTAGCTTCAGGGCTGTCTTTCTTGTATTGTTCAAGCCTTTCGGCAAGTCTTTCAAACATCATAACGCCCTGTCCACCATACCTATCCTTACCAAATTGCGTGTAGAGGTAACTAAAGTCCCTTTTTCTTGGCATAACTGCCCTATTGGCCTTTTTCCTGTGAAATTCCAATTCACCCTGACATGATTCTTTGAGTTCTTTCAAGTACTGTTGCCTTGCGATTGCTGGTGTATGCCCACTTTCAAACAGCTTCAAAACCCTTTCTGTGCACTCAG